GGACAAAGGGCTATTAGGATGGCACGAGCAACCCTTGAAGGCCTAATAGAGCATCTAAATGGACTAGAACGACTCTAGAAGACCCAGAAGCTCAAAAACTAGGTTTTATGCATAGAATGACCGTGCCCAAACTAGAACAATCCATTCCAAATCAAAAAAATGGCTTATAACCCTAATTGGGAACAACCTATTCTAAGGGTCCATTTTGTGTGCAAATTTATGGGGCAGAACGACTGTTTTAGGTTTGGGAACAACCATTCCATGCCTCTAGCTCCCTATATAAGCGAGTACGGGGCATGTTTCTCCATACTCACTGCTTAGTTGATCTAGTCCAAATAGAAACTCTTTCTTCTCTCTCTAGTCTTTCCTGAGTGTGTGTGAGGTTCTTGTAGAGCGAAAGATTACCAAAACATGCCTTTATAATAAGATTTGAGATTCTTCTCTTTTATAAAGCTTGCTCTGAAGGTATTTCATCAAAGTCTTTCACTTTCTCTCTTTGTATTTATATAATTGTTTTGTTCATAATATTATTGTCATCATGTAGACACTAAACATGTAAGTAATTAATAAAAGGGGTAAACGTTTAAATTATTGTTCCTTACTATGCTAAAATCATAATAGGGTACCAAGATAGGGTACTATAAGGTGCTTAATACATTCCTTATACGTAACTGACCCACAAACCTAATTCTGGTTATGAAGGCCACAATTAATTTTTAATTTTTTTTTTCCTTTTTTTGACGTTTTGAGTAAAATGTCGATGGAGACTCCTAAAAACCTATTTAAAAAATCATTGGTGAAGGATTAGTCTGATCTTCAGACATTCCTTAGCCAATAAGATTTCAAATGGAAATCAAAATCATCTATGGGTAAGATCAGAAATTTTTGGATTCTAACACTTAGATATATATTAGCCAAAATATTTTATTCATTTTTTAGTTTAACGTATAGATTTGACTTATTAAAAAGTGTAAGGAGTAACAAACATGATCAATGGTACTAGTGTATATGATCCAACCAAAGGAAAGAATAATTATACTTGTGAATCGTTGAGTTGCACTTTAAAGAATGATAAAGGCACTTATGTGTTTCACTTAGTTGTTTCTTGTGACTGAAGATGCATGTTCATTGTTCCATTGTAAACAACCAATTTTTTAATACAATTTTAAGTGTAATGTTCACCTATTGTTGTCCTACTCAAAATTATCTTTGTGATCATATTAAAAGACCGAGTTAGTATCAATAGTAGCAATGTAGGTTTGCAATAAAGGGATTGTCCATATACTTGAGAATTGAAGAAAAATTATACATAATATAACAAGTTTTCATACTGTGTTAAATTTTTTCTCCAAAAGGTACATAACTTTGTATAAACATTATTGTTAAATCTTCCTTGAATAAAATGAATCCCACAACCTTTATTTTGAGAGTTATCATTGCTACTCATAAAAAAAGTTGGGCATTGAAACAATTTAAGAATTATTATTGCAATAAAATAGGAAATTTTGGCTAAGTTTATATATTATCGATACTTTTTAAGATTTATGTCATGAGAAAAGTGAGGAGTTGATAAAGTTAGAAAATACTTAAAATAAATTTGGGCATGTTGTTAGGAATCTCGAGAATTTCTATTCAAGAAATTTGATCATTACCTCAAAAGGGCAATTACACTTATTTGAGTAGATTGACAATTATCTTAAAAGGGTAGTTACACTTTTAAGAAAATGTGACTAAACACAAAGCATTTATCAATAGTTACAAGAAGTTACTACACTTGTTCAGACCAATAATTACCTTAAAGACACATGTTAACATTTTGTAATAGTCAGAATTATTATACAATACATAAAGGACCTTAGCTATTTTTTCTTTGTGATTACATTTCACACTACTTACAAACACCGCTTACATCGATACTAATAGCTTAAGGTTAGGCGTGGGCAAAACGAACTGAACTGAACTGAACTTATAAAAATTATATTGAACTTAAAAGTAGTTCATATGAACTGAACTAAACTAAATATTAGTTCAGACGAACTGAACTGAACTATTTTTTTGTGTCATTGAACTGAACTGAACTATATTATAAAAACTTGAACTGAACTGCAATTTAAACTGCACTAAACTGTTATGATATTTTGAATTGAACAATTTTGACTCATTTATCTATCAAAATAGGACACATTTGTCAACTTTACTTTATTTTCCATTTTATTTAAAATTTTCAAAGGAAAAAAATATAAAATTAAGTCAAACAAACTCAGTGAATTTTAAGCCTAAAAATAAGTAGTTCAACATAGCTCAATTGATCCGTTAAGTTCAACAAAATTGATACAATTTTTTTTCAAATCACTTTTTTTTCTAAAATTTTGGTTATTAAACTATCGAGCTAATCTATTAAGACATAACATGTTAAACACATTTATTTTTTATTTTTTTATAAAAATAGTTCAATTTTTATAATTCAGTTCAGTTTTTATAGTTCAGTACAGTTCAACTTTACAACAGTTCAGTTCAGTTCAGTTTTTTTTAAACAGTTCAATTCAAATTTTTTTACAAATAGTTCAGTTTTTTATAGTACAGTTCACCACCAGTTCAGTTCAGTTCAGTTCAGTTTAGTTTTTTTTGCCCACCCCTACTTAAGGTTATTGGAAAGCTTTATACGTAATTCACCATTCATAGTGTATTTATTTTTTAATTCGTCTTTCGATAACCCTTTCATCTTCCTTTAACAACTTTTTTTTTAATTATTTTTTTATTGCATTTAATCTATTTATAACTTTTTTCCTTTTAATTTTCTATGACTCATTTTCCCTTTTTCCTCAAATGTTTATTTTTGTGCATTATATTAATGTTTAACTTATAAAATCAATATAAAAATATCGAAATACTATAAGTTGTATGTATTTAAGTTCAATTAATATGTCTCAATTGAAAATCAAAAAGATAATATTGTTCTACATAATTAATTTTTTATATTAATGTAATATGTTTATCAATATCGAAATATATGTATTTGTTTATATTCATTGTTATTTTATTGAAAATAAAGTAAAAACAAAAAATACTAGCTGTTCTAAGTCATTTGTTAGGTTTTCGTACTTATATGTGTTTCATGTTGTTTTTATCAAATTATTTGTGCTATTTGTCTTATATACTAATTTAATTTATTTAGTAAATAAAATCTTGAAACATAAAATCTTGCTAAGTTAATTGTTTTTTTTTTCTTTTCTAATTCATCAAAAAGAATCCACTACATCCATTAATTTCTTGGTCTCGCGAATAAAAATCTTATTTGTTTGTATGGATACCAAATAAATTTATACTTGTAAGTAATATTCGAACACCTTTTAACTTTGACAAAAAAATACTTAGTTTGATTGAATACAAATACAACTTATACCCAATTTATTAAACCGGGTATGGGGATGGGATGAGTATATACATATTCATCCTGTACCTGTAACCATATCTACTTTAAATTTCTAAAAATTTAATTTATTTTTAAAAATTTATTTGACATTTATGTAATTCTTACTTTATTTTAAATTTATGTCAAATAAAATTTAATTAATATAATTTTGTAATTGTTACTCTATGTTAAAATTATCATTTTTTTAATATATTTTCTTAAAAAAGTTAATTAATTTTTTGACGGATACAAATATACCTGATATCCGATAGGGATAAGGACACAAATCATATACTCGTCAATTATGAAAACAAGAATGGATATAAAATATGAAAGCAAGGACGAAAAAGAAATAGTGAAACCCTTACTTATCTCATCTTGTTGCCATCACTATTTATTTGAATCTTATGAAAAGTTATCCTTTTGAAAATATCGAATTTTATTTAGATTTCTTGATACAAATTTCTACCAACAACAAACAACAAATTCTATGATCGAAAACAAAAAGATACCAAACCAAAACTAAGCAATGCAAGCTAATACTTTCTATATTTGTATTTTTCTTTCTTGCACCTGTTATTTAATAAATTTCTTAAATTATCCTTATTTCAACACAGTTCTAAATTACTTAGTTTGAGATACTCATTTCATAATAATATTTTTTTAGAACACCCATTTTAAAATAATAAATATTTTAGAACGAGTGTTATAGAAAAATATTATTTATGAGTAGGGATGGCAATGGGGCGGGTAATAGTAAATCCGCCCCCGCCCCGTTAAATAAAATTGGCCCCATACCCACCTCATATCCGTGTAGGTATCCATTAAGCGGGTATCCATGAATTTCTTGAATACCCACAAATATCCATGGATATTTATAAATTTTTTAAGAAATTAAAAATATTATATTACAAATAATTTTAAGTTTTTATTTAATGTCATTAAAATATTGAAAATAAAAATTTAATGTTAATTTTGAATTTGTATTTAACGTTAATTTTGTTAAAATAATAATAAAAATGTAATATAATCAATAATTTAAAATACATCAATCTGACAAGTAAGTTAAAGTCTCATCACAAAGTTACAATAATTCAATCTCATAATTCCAAATGAAAGTAAACAACTTAAAGTACATAAATCTTATTGGTCCAATCAAAGCTAGAAAATTAATCAAATTACATCTAACATAATTCTATAACATGCTTAACACATGTTAGTAACTTCATCAACCTCACTTTTGTATGAAAATAAGATGAGAGAGTGCAGTTTTAAGGCTATGTGGTATAAGAATAATTAAGATATTTAAGAAATAATATTAAACGGGTATCCGCGGGTACATCATACCCGCCCCCGCCCCATTTATAATCCATAAGTACCCGCGGGTGCGGGTATTTTTGTCATCCTTATTTATGAGTGAGTTCTAGAAATGTGTTGAAATAAAAATAATTGAAGAAATCTGTATAAATACATGTGTAGGTTATAAATATTTCCTAGACATGCAACAGACACCCCAACCAAAAAAATTGTCTGGGCCGTAATTCTACAAGCCCAGCCCAAGGGCATCCAGTTAAAAGTGGTGACTTCCTTAATCTCCATTTCTTTCTGCACGCTTCACTATGGAGGTTGCCACAGCAGCTTCTAGCTTCGCACTCAACAAGCCCATGCTGGCATTGCCGTCTTCGTCTCGAACCGGAACCCCTATCAGAGCCATGAACTCCTCCTCCCTCAGGACCTCTCTCTCCACCAACTTCGTCGCTCCTTACGCCGGAATCAGCAGCGCCTCTAGCCTCTTCTCCGGCCACAAGCTCCGACCCTCCTCCCTCAATCCGGCGTCGTTTCCTGGTTCCAGCCCCAAACGAGGCGTCGTTACTATGGTACCACTTTTTCTCCTCTTTTCAACCGCGTTTTCGATGCTGGTTTCGAATTGGATAAGAGATTGGCGATTTTACGCGAATTTTCGAATTGAATATTTTGTGGCGTGGATATTCACCGTTTTTCTGTGCATACCGTGATAATTTCGAGTGTGTGTTTATGGGTTTAAACGTTTAATTAGTAAGTACGTGTATGAGGTCGTAGGGCTTGTAGTTTTCGTTTTGCTAGAAAGAAAAAGGTTGGAGTATGTAGAGTTTATTCAATTTGAACGCGAGTTAGGCAGAGAGGTGTGGAATTTGGATTTTATAGGTTTTGGTGATGGCTAAGGTCGTTTTAGAACAAAGTTTGCTGGTAACAAATCAGGGATTGGAAATGTATCAATGAGTTCTGAAGGTCAATCATCATAATCACACCCGACAAAACAAAGTTGTTAGCAGAGAAGACACACTTTATAAAAAATAGCATTTTCTAGGAACCGGAACTAAAAATATTTATAGGGGTAGCCAACTATATTTATCTTAGTTGCCCCAGAGGTTTTAAAAAATATTTTCGGACATGTTTTTAACCACACGTTCTATTCTGTTTTATTTTTGAAATTAAACATAGAATGGAATGCATGTGTTATGCTCTGTCTTGTTCTAGCACGAGAGGGCAAGAAAAATGTTAACTTTATAAAATTAAAAGAGTAAAATAATTTACTTTTTTGCATTGATTTCTGATATAAACTACTCATTGTGCAAGCACAATGTTCATAGTTCAAGTCAAAGATTGTGATGTTCAAAATACCAAAATCAAAAACCCTAAACTGATTGATGCAGAGAATCTCAAAGTCTGACAACTAGTAATTCTTTTAACATTCTGCTTACTTTATTCCAATTTACTATAGTGGATGATAGCTAGTTAGATGGCTGGGTTATTAGAGAATTTTTCTACTCATACTAATAAGATGATAGAGGCATGCTTTACCGTTGAACTTAAAATGGCATTCCTAAGGTGCCAAGAGGCATTGATCCCTTCTGGCACGTTGTAATGCATGTTGTTTTAGGTTTCTTTGTCACTTTATCCATATACTTGAGAAGGGATAGGATTTCTTTTAATGGGTTCTCTTTGGTAGTCAGTGGGCAGTTTTTTTCAGTCTTTTTGGCAGGTATGCGGAGAGGACAGGGAGCTCGTTTGTTTTGTCATTTTATTTGTCTTTGTTTGACACTAAGTGTATGGAGCTCATGTCATTGTTCTTTTTTGTTTTCGTCTAATTTATGTTAATTTTTCTTTTGTTGAAAAAGGACTGATGTATGTAGATCTGTGTTGTAATAGAAGTTGTATATGGTCATTGCTGTGCAGTGTCTCAAACAAACATTCTGTAACTCACATGGGTCCTTTTTAATGTGTAAAGTTATTCGTGCATGATCTATATATTATGATAATAAGTGGTATAACTTATAATGCACATTGTACAATATTTATGGCATATTGCAGAACAATATATCCTATAAATACTATTTATGCCGGTTGTGTTGTTTTTTTTTCTTTGTTGGATAGGTTATTCCTTTTTCAAGAGGAAGTGCATGGGAGCAACCTCCACCGGACTTGGCTTCTTACTTGTATAAAAATCGAATTGTTTATTTGGGCATGTCTCTTGTTCCATCTGTCACTGAGTTAATACTAGCTGAGTTTCTTTACCTTCAATATGAAGACGATGATAAGCCTATTTACCTATACATAAACTCCACTGGGACAACCAAGGTAAGTAATGTTTCTCTATGTATTCAGCCTAGGATATTGTCTTCTCCCTGAGAAAGACTTTCTCATAGCTTGATGTACACTGGTTTATCTAATGTCAAAGCATTCATCTTATTACTAAAGTTCATATAGCAGGAATCGCTTGATGTAGAATGAGGTGTTGTAAGAAGGAATAGAATATGGAGAGTGGGGAGGGGACTAGGGAGTGCGTGCATTAGAGGAGTGATAGTAGATAAGTCAGATCAAATCACACAACTTTATTAGAAATATAATATAATTCATTTCAAAGTGTTAATGCATTTAATTTTGGAATTAATAAGGATATTATTCCCTATTGCAGTGCACCTTGATAAAGATCATGCTTTTGGGTGTTCCCTTTTTCAAGTAATACCAACTTATGTCCTAATGTTAGCCTAAGAAATTGCAAGACTTGCTCAATCTTTTGTTAGTAATCTGAAATGCATATCAATGTAAATTTTGATAAGTGCAATGTTGGTGGCAGTTGCTTTTAATTGTGATGCACAGTAAACATAATACTAGCAATTATTGTGAATAAAAGTGTCAATGAGTGCTCTAGGCCATGCTCTCACTAGACTGTGATATAGTGTAGAGAAAATGCAACTCTTGAGCTAAATTCAAACTAGCCTAAGGTACTACCAGGTCGCCAGCATTGGACAGGGGGTGGGGGTTCTGGGTGGGGTTAAGTCTAGGTTCACTCCTGTGATGTTGAAGCATATCTAAAGCCTATAGTTCAACCAAGCCTCACCTTTTATACACACCATGACTTATGGAGCTTATATGGAAGCCAAAATTGATGGAGCCAGGTTTTGTGTTAAGGGGACTGATATTGAATAGATTGAATAATAGCTAATGCCTAATAATATGCTGAAACTATCATGTTAATGCATGCATGCACTTGAAAACAGAGAAGAAGGATGGGATTGTTTTTGTTGATTGAAATTGAAACTAGAAAAATTGATACAAATATATAGATCCTAATGAGGCTACCCTAGTTAAGTTAATAAAGAAACAAAACACAAATAATGAGGTGAGGCAAATGTACATAAGGAAGTAAGGAAACAAATCACAAATTAAAACTACACTCAATTAATCCCCCTATGTACATCAATTACAATCACAATCCTACTTAATTGCAGATCATATCTGATCTTGTCATATAGGACCATCCAACATTTGTCAATCTAGTTTACATAGAAACTAAAGAATAGTAAGTACAAGTTTTGAAACTTCAAGAAACTACTACCAATCATAACATTTTTTTGAGTTTATTTTAATGTTTTTCTCTTGGAGATGCATGCTAAACCTCTGCTCAATAATTTAATATTATTTTAAATTGCTTAGCTTAATGAAATCAATAAATCAATTATAGCTACTATATTTCTTTTTGTGATAAAATGTAGAATTTGTATTATCAGCAGATAGCTACCCTGTTTTATGAGAATATCATATAAAACAATAACAACAGCAAGAACTCAACCTTATCCCACTAGGAGGTGGCTCTGTGAATCAATCTGAACTGTCGGGCTATAGTGCTTTCATTTCTTATTACTAAAGAGCTGCAAATAATTTTTGTAAGATTCTAAATAATGGTCCCACAATCTCCGTGGAAATGTTGTTTAATAGAATTTTGTTTCCTTCTTTCAGGGAGGTGAGAAGTTGGGTTATGAGACTGAGGCCTTTGCAATTTATGATGTGATGAGGTTATTATCACTATGTTATCATGTCATTTATTTTCTTTATCTCTCTCACTTATGTTGGGCTCTTAAACTGAGTACTAAACAGGTGTCATTTAAATGGAAAAAAATCTTTAACTCTTAAATTTATGATGTGATGAGGTGTCTTTATTTTCTCTGCTCCACCTTGCATTGCATGTTGTGGGTTGTAAGGTGGAGAAGTCCTTTGCATAGGCACTGTGTTCTGATTTTAACAATCTGAGTGGCAGTAGCATGTATACCATGCACCATTGTTATTAGCATCGTACAGTTCATGATACAATACACAATTCAATTCGAGTAGTTAGCTATATGAATTGTTGAGAAAATTGTTTGGGTGCTTGAGTTGCACCATGAATAGCAGGAATTACAGCTGAATTGCAAGTGATTCTGGTGCAGGTGGGTTGTGCACCAAACTGGGTTGGGTGACGCAAGATCCAAAAAAATGGTCCGACTGGTGTAGTATGGAAACCATTATCTTAGGGGATGGTTTTTTTTTTTTTTTTTTTTTTTTTTTTTTTTTTTATAAATAATGTGAATGTAGTTAGTGTATGTATGTCATTATAATTTATCTTGATAGGTATAACTCTTTAATTTTTTTCTACTAAAAGTAAAAATTTTAAAAATAATTTCTGACATTTGGGTCCATGATAAATTTGACGTCTTTCTGATGTAGGTATTGACCACTTTTTTTTAGCTTTTTGCTTTTTTTTTGTTTTGGTTTTGCACCAAAGATATCTTCCAATAGATAATTGGAGACTGATTCCTTTTGAAGCATAGAAATCAATGAAGTGAATTTCATCTCTCTCAACAAAATCTTCTCCATACCTAAACACTTTTGACGGACCAATTAAACATCTTTTATTAAAATATATATTAGTTTATATAATTGTATATGTGTTGCATAATTTTAAATTGGATTAAATATGTTTTTATAATGCTCTTAGATTTGTGTTTTTAGTTATTGATCGTGAGTTTGTGCTTCTATGTCTTTGTTAGTTGTATATACTATATTTTATTATCAATCAAGAATCTAACGATTCAGGATACAGTTTGATTTGCGATTTGGAAAATAGACCTAATTCACAATTTGATTATTGATTGAACTATCATGATTTGCACCCACCCTTACCTAGGTATTTTTCCATTGAAAATGATTATCTAGCTTATGTTAACTTTTGTTGGTATCTTTGATGATCTCTAAGGTGTATAATGCTTTTTAACTGATCATCAGATTTTTAAATAAACTCTTTTCCTATATGTGGAGCCAATTTATTTAGCTTATATATACATCTGACCCACTTTAGAGGTTGAGTTTCCTATATGTGTTTTGTCATGAACTTTGTCTATGATGTCACTAAATGGTGATCTCTCTTTGACAACAATTTTACCTAGTTTTGCCATACTGCATACCTTTTGTTTCTCTCTTTTGGATTAATGTTTCTACTCTTGGATTTTTTTTATCTACTAGAATTACAACGATGATACCAGAGTTCAAACTTAGAACCCTATAATACATACTATTCCAATTCCTATCACTAGGCTGATCCTAGTAGTTCACCCTTGGATGCTAAAAACATGATGTTAATATCTATTAGATTGTAAATGGACATGATGCTGAACGTTTATGTTTATTATGAAACAACTGTTTTCTCTTCCTGCATAAGCCTATCCTGAAGGAGACATTCTGTTTTACTCTATAGCTTTTTCCCTATTTGAAGAATTCTCAATAGGAAGTTTGTGTTTATTAATCTAGCTAACTTGTTCTGCTACAGGTATGTCAAGCCTCCTATTTTTACTCTTTGTGTTGGTAATGCTTGGGGAGAAGCAGCCTTGCTTTTGGCTGCTGGTGCAAAGGGAAACCGTTCGGCTTTGCCATCATCAACAATAATGATAAGACAGGTTTGTTCTCAACCATTTCTTTTAAGGACTAGGGCTATTTAGTTTGAGAAAACGTTTATTGTTTATATTTTGTTTTTACTTTATTTCCTGTATTCAAAAGTTTATATACAAAACTGGCAAAACAGGAAACAAACTGAAAATAAGGTGGCATTTTTTCAAGTAAAAGTGAAAATGAAAAGAAAATGTTCTCATAAACCAAATAACCCCTAACTATTCCACGTGCTTAAGTTGTTGGGTTCTAGCACATGAATGGTCACTTCAGTTACTTAGTTTATTGCGTGTCTTTGGGGATATTTTATCCAAACATGTTAATTGTATGTCTTTTCAATTTGCAGCCAATTGCAAGGTTTCAAGGTCAAGCAACAGATGTTAACCTTGCGAGACGAGAAGTCAATAATGTGAAGACAGAATTGGTAAATACTTCAATCTAATTATATATAGTTAAGTTTTAGTTGTAATTAATTGATAATTGATAATTACTATCTATAAAGCTATGTGGACCAGTGCATAATTTGTGTTTTTATTCCCTTCAAAATATCCAAATGGGAATTTGTTGAGCAGTAGCCAAACATTTGCTTGTTCATTCAACCCCCGAGCTTGAGATTATGAATTGTGTTATATTTGGATTTCACAGTGGACTTGCATGTTTTTGATTTAATATGGACTCTTATGGATGTGGGTTTTACTCATTATCTTTATCAAATTCTGATTCAAAGATTATTGTAACAACTCACATTGTTTAATCTTTTAAAAGGTTAAATTGTATGCAAAGCATATTGAAAAAACACCCGAGCAGATTGAAGCTGATATTCAGCGTCCGAAGTATTTTAGCCCCAGTGAAGCTGTTGAATATGGAATCATAGATAAGGTACTTGCCGTCAGACATTTTCTTTTTGTCCTTTATTTGCCTTGAAAATTAAAGTAGCTGTCTTTTTGCAGGTATTATACAATGACAGGGGCACTGAAGATCGTGGAGTTGTTTCTGACCTTAAAAAGGCACAGCTTATTTGACAGTTGGAATTTAAATTGCTATTTATTTGGAGTTTTCAGGTAAAGTACATCTTTAGACTTTATTGTATTAAACAGTTGTTTCAACTTCAAAATTGATTTAATGTTATCTTATAAGAGTAACTGCCCCCTTTTTACCAACAATTCTTATTAAATCTTGTAGTTCTTGTTATTATTTTGCTGGATTGTTTGTGATGCTCAGAAATTTATTGCCCATGAAGCTAGTGTTGGTCAATTAAGCAAATCAATCACCTGTGATTATAATTTGTCCTTTTACACTTTAAGCTTTAAGCTTTTGGTATTTGCCACTGTAAAATGAATAATTTTGTAGCGTGGTCTAGTGATTTCACCAACCATGAGTTAGTGTTTCATGTTTGTGTAGAAAGGAAGCCCCAAAGCCCTCACTTTGAAGCTTTTTGGGAATATTATGCCCTTAGTTTAAACCTTTTTTGAAATATTATGCTTTCAATAAACTTGTCACTCTTAATGATCTAAAAAGTAAGCTTTTATTGATGGTGACATCCATAGCCGATCTAAATAGTCAGCTTTTATTGATAGTGACATCCACAACCTCCGTAGTTTCTGTTCTGTTCTATTTCACTAACAAGTGCAAGCATAGCCAGGTTCTCTCATTTAAGGAGGCGATTATTTGTTTTCATGTCTACATTCCATGCAAATATATTCCCCACCTCCTACCCCCAAATTATATAGAGATTTATCAGAGGGGGCCAAGATCCTCAACATTTAAAAAAAAAAAGTAACTGCAAATGATCTAAGCATGAAAATGCTTTATTTATAACAAAAAATATGAAACATTGGATATATTGTTGGATTTGAACTGCATGATGGTGCAGTTACTTTTGAACTTTAGAGGATCTTAATCCCAGAAGAAGGGACATGCATGGTCATGCCATTGTTGCTGCTTGGGCGGTTTGGTATACTCGTTTATATCTTGCATTTGGCCTGATTTAGTTTCACCTTGTTAGTTGGGTGCTTACTTCGCAACGTGTTGGAGACAGATGTAAGGGAGACATGGGAATATGCAACCTTCACATTTGCTGGTCCGTTAGTCTTGGCTGTGTATATTTTTTTTGCATTATCTAATTTTAAGTGGTATGTCACGTTGATGGAGTCTGTTGTCAAAATTGATGGCCATTATAGTGATTTTACTTTTTGTATTTTTAAAACAATATCCCCTTTTGTTTCCTTTTTCAGCATTGACTTTTGTTTTTGGAGGGGGGAGGGTTGAAATAAAGATAGTACTTTAATATGTAGAATAATGGTAAAATGTGTGCTGCGCTAAATATGTTAACTATTCCAATCAAAGACTGTTTCTGCGTGGTCTGATATATTTCTCATGGAATTGTTCCTGACTACAGGAATGTGTGTGGAAATTGATATGGTTAGTGAAGTTCCTATTTCTCGCTATTTTTAGCTTTCTATTCTTAATAAATTCTTTGTTTATATGAAGTAGATAAGCTTAAATGGAAAAAGATCAAGATCAGCAGTGAATTTGTACAACCGTGCCAAGCAAGTAGAGGACATTGGAGTCTCATTGTTAATACCATAGACTATATTTCCCTCCCCCAACAATAGGCCGAAGGATCTACCTGTACCACTACTTGTTTTCTAGTTCGTTGTACACATGATTGGTTTCTTTTGTACACATGATTGTATTCTGGTTCATTCTAATTTAAAAGCTTGACAGTATTGGTGGAACGAAACTCAATTACCGTTAATGGCAATGTTTAGCAAATTTGAAAAAGAAGTATCACAAATTTAAAACCATAAGAAACTTGTGGTACTTGTGGTTGTGGGAAGATGTGGATGTAGCCTTTAAAGATGTATTTTTATAATTTTTTTTGTATCAAGTACTAATTTAATTTAATAAATAATTCACGTAAATTTAGTTAATAAAATAATGTAAGAAAATGAACATTTATACTGGTCGAGTGTAGGTAAATCATTTATTAACTTTAGTACCCGTACGAACTGAAGTAACATTTAGTGAATAATCATGTTGGTATTTCTGGTCGAAATATCTTTTTTTTTCATATTTTTTTTTATTAAAAGAATCTACAAATTTGGAGAATAAGTATTTTGGCCGGTTCAATTATTATTATTATGAGTAAGACAATTAGTGTCTCTATATATTATTTAAAATACAAAATAAAATAACTAAAAATTATATTGGTGATTTATAATTATAAGATGAGTAATTTAGAATAATTATAAGGGTAAAAATGTCTTCAAAAATATGTAAACGAAAAAAAAAATGTGTCACTTTAATATAGTTATAAATTATTGTTGTCGTATTAAAAAAGCTTTTATTAACCATGCAAAGCACGAGACCAATGATCTAGTCGTATATAAATATAACTACTTTTCATTTAATTTTGAAACATATTTTTTCTTTTACTCCATTTTTTTTTCTGAAAAAAACCATGGGTAGGATGTTAATAAGATTCAAAGTTTCAACAAGAAAAGAAAAAAAGTGTAGCAAAAGAATTGCAATTATTGAAAGCACTATCCTGTTACTGTTTGTAAGAGAAGCCTGTTTCGTGTAAGAAGGAAGGAGGCACCACATGGATGGCTGGACTTAAGAAGCACCTACTCTACTCCAACAGCTTGCCTCCTTTACACTTGCATTGCATCGCATCAATCTAAACATATTAATACACTCATCCTTTCTTTGGTTGGCCAAAATATGTCAGCAATGAAATTTTTTAATTAAATTAAGAGAAAGACCATGGCCCTATGCTGTTTTTTATTTATTTATTTTTTATTGTTTTCAAAAATATAATTTACGGTTTATTTTTTTTAAAATTTGTTTGTCCGTCAACATATTTGAAAATGTTTGTCTTCTTAGTTCATTTTTGTCTGCTCAGCACTTGAATAAAATACTTGTAAATAAAAATAAAAATGAATAACAAAACATCATCCGCTATCTGCTTTTCTTTGGTTATTAAAATATTTATCTTGAAAATGATTTTTAAAACTTAATAGTTTTTGGATGAGAAGTTGATTTCTAAAAGATACAAAAATTGATTTAGAAAAGATTTTTTTTTTTAATAATCACATAAGACCTATGCTTCTTGTTTGGTGAGAAGAAGAGGAGAGAAGTAATAAACTTTTTTTCCCTCTAAGATGGGCAAATTTGGGGGGAGAAGAGGGACATGGTCTTCTTTTAGTTACTTTTTATATATCATAAAAAAAATTCATTTAAAATATTTTTATGAAGCATAATTATAATAATTTTTTTATATAAAGTTTACTTGTTTTTCATTATTTTTTCTTATTTAAATAAATAACATATATTTTTTATTTCTCACCCATTTTAACCTATATAAATTCCATTTTATTTATTTCCTCCTTATTTGACCACCCTTTATTGGAAGAGAGTGATATGATGCCCTTGCATCAGCAACAAACGAGGAAAATGTAATTTCTCCTCTCGGGTATTCACAATGCAATTTGGTTCAATTGTCTTTCACTTATTTTCTTTTTTTTTTGGTTAACAAGCAGATTCTTTGAAGTGTTTAATTAACACCCTCCATGCAAGATGTGTTAAGAGGGCCAATTGAGATCAACACTAAACTGAAGATGGGAACTTCTTCTTCTACATTGGCATTTGGCAACCTTAAAATCGCTAATAACTTGGCGGCAGGCCCTTTTTATAGAATTTATTATTTATTTTGGCGTCAGTAAGTAATTCAAATACAATTTGTGGAGTTGATGGCGTGTGCCAATATTGAATCCGTGGGTGTGGGTGCGTTACAACCAACGTGGCTGCTAGAGATTTAAGTGGGTTGTGACTTGTGTGGAATCTTCAACAATCATCACTCTACTTCTTCATACGTTTCTCCATCTATTTATTTATAAAATACTACTAATGGTGCATTTAAACCAGGAATTTTAGAAATGTAAAGAATTTAATATTTTTTATATTTGAATTACTTTAACTTTAATTTTTATCATTTTAAAAATATTTTATTTGGATAAGTTAATTTAAATTATGTTTGAATAGAGAAATTTACATGAAGTAGAATGATGAAAATTGAAATCAAAGTAATTTAAATTTTAAAATATTCAAATTTCTTGAATTTCTAAAATTCCTTATCCAAACACATTTGAATATGGTAATTTGATTCCACCATGATAAAATTGATTTTAAAAATATATTCATATGTTGAGACTTTGAAATTAAATTTTATAAAAATAAATATTAACCAAGTTTTAAATACTTAATAATTTTAAAAATTAATATTAGATAATATTTAATGACTTTAAAAATATTTTTGAATATTCAATAATTAAAAGTACAAAGAAATAAGAGATAAGATAATATATATAAGTGAAATAAGAAAAACAAATTAAAAATTTTCAAATTTTTTATTTTTTGGGAGCATTTGAAAAATTCTACTATTTTAAAGAATTTAACAAATGTTTGAATTTCAAATTCTTAGTAAATTCCCTATCCAAACAAAAAACTTCATCTCAAGAAATTTAAAAAATTTTAAATAAATAAATTACTTAATTTAAATTTTTCATCCAAACACACTCTAAATATTTTTAGGTTGGATAAATTTAATTTTAATCTTTGAAGTTAAATAGTGGTTTACCTTCTTTCCGTTTTTGTTGATTCTTACATAGATTTTGGTATATTACTTCTATGTTATTATTTTTCTCCTTTTATATTTTTTTTTAGTTGCTACAAATGATTGATAGATTTTAGGATGTCATTATTGTTAAAATGTCCTAGTTCTATAATAATGTTTAACACACTAAATCTTTTATTATTGAAAAAAAAAGTAATTATTGACATAATTAAAGGCTTCATCAACATATGCTGTGAAAATTTATACACCTTATCATTGTATTAAAAAAATTAAAGATAAATTATGCTTTTATAGTAATAATTTAAAAATTAAATTATTTACTTGTTTGAAAGAGAAACAAGTAGGAGAGAAGAAAAAATAGTGAGACCCATGATAAAGTAATTTTTTCATGGATGAAGAGATTTGGTAAAAAAAATTATTAAAAAATTTATATTTATTCTGCTTCTTTTCTATTACTTCAATTTAAATTTTATGAAAATCTATCTATTTTCTACTCTTTTACTCCTCTCCCTGTCCTTCTCCTTTCTGTTTCATATTTCTCTAACATTCAATTCATTCGTTGTTTATTAAAAAGTCAATGGTTTTGACCCTACAAACAATCCTTTGACACTTAATAGCATTAAACCAGATGTTTAAAAGGATAAACATCAAAATCATACATTAATGGGTTAGTTCAAAGGTTATCAATATGTCCAATCTTTGTCTTTTTCAGCTTCTAATCAACTAGAAAATCACTTTTTAATAATAAAACTCCTTCTTGAATATGCGAGATCACTTTTAGTAGTAAAAATAAAGACTAGCATCTGTTGCGCGCACCTTGGGATAAAATTTTTGTCCGAATTGTGACAATAGAACCATTGAACTTTGAATAGAGTTGCCAAGTGCATGGACCTTCCAAGAATACTGTTACAATAGAACCAAGTTAGGCATTTTGCCATTGTGACAACAAATAAGTTCGAATATTATACGAAGGACCCTATTGATTCAATATTGCTACTTGCTAGGGTCTAAATGTACACATCATTATCCCAATCCATTCCCATTCCTTAGTCCTCAAGTGGGAGAAAAAAGTGGACTGCCATCTGTACTCTCTAGACCTTAGGACATTACTATAAATATCACTCCATATCTTTGCTTCCTATCTCACAAAGCATTCTATCACTTGCTACACTTTCTTTTCTACTCTTCCACCTTGAGAATGGAAATTAGTTTTAAGCACCAACTTAGCCTTGCTTGTGTCATACTACTTTTGCCTGCACTGTGTAGCTCACAGGACTCCTTCACGGACTCCAGAGCAACGTATTATGGTAGCCCTGATTGCTATGGGAATCCAAGTATGACCCTCTTTCTAGCTGTAGCAAATAGCAATATACCCATGATGACATGTGCAAGAACATATATATTGTACCAAGCATATGTGTTTAAAGGCTAGGAATTAGATAATAGTAATACACCCATGTTTGCATGTTTCATTAATGATTTTGATATTTTGAAACTATAATTGTTTGCTTTCTAGGAAAACAAATTTAAAGAAGTTACTTTGGTCATGCATGTTCATGCTTTTTAGAATTAAAATGTGTAGCACTGTGGTAGTGTGACATTATGCTACTTTTTGTAACTATGTCCCATTATTTCAAGAAAACATTTTTGTTTGCAGCACGACATAAGAAATAAAATATGATATGTGAATTGATATTAATTGTATTACAGGGGGAGCTTGTGGCTTTGGCGAATATGGAAGGACGGTGAATGATGGAAGTGTGGCAGGTGTGTCTAGGCTATGGAGGAATGGAAGTGGCTGTGGTGCATGCTACCAGGTGCTTTTCTTACAAAATATTTAATTGAAAAATAAAATAAATTGCCAAGTATTAGTTTGTATTTGTTGTAATAATTGTTCATTTACCAAATATAAACGATGATGATTTAGGCAAGGTGCAAAATACCACAATATTGTGATGAAAATGGAGCATACGTGGTGGTAACAGATTATGGTGAGGGAGACAGAACAGACTTCATCATGAGTCCACGCGCATACTCAAGATTGGGACGCAACGCAGATGCATCAGCAGAGTTGTTCAAATACGGTGTAGTTGATATTCAATACAGAAGGGTACCCTGCAGATACACTGGCTATAACGTCGTGTATAAGGTCCATGAACACAGCAGAAACCCTGACTACTTTGCTGTCGTCATTCTCTATGTAGATGGAACATACGACGTCAATGCTGTCCAATTGTTTCAGGTATACTACATGTCTTGTCGGACAAAACTTGGATAGGCCTTGACCACATGTTTTTCTGATCAGAATTGAAGTTTTAGTTCAGTGATATATATTTGTATTTAGTGAAATCTTTATACGTGTAAGTTTTATCCTACTTGTATTTGGCTTGTTGCACTTGTATGTACAAAATTTGATTGTTGAAATGTTGTGAATTTTGCAGCAAGACTGCCAAGAATGGAAGCCAATGCGTAGGGCCTTTGGGGCAGTGTTTGACTATAGCAACCCTCCAAGTGGAGAACTGTACTTGAGGTTCCAAGTGAGTGGCAATGCAGGGCTTTATTGGGTGCAGTCCAACAATGCTGTCTCTAGTGATTGGAAGGCTGGAGCAACATATGACACCATGGTTCAGCTTAATTAGAAACAAAATAGCACTTGAGATCCCGGGAACAGATTAGATATAGATAGGCACCGGTATTCAATTTGTTCTAATTAGTGTCACTCTAAGAATGTTTGTGTGTCTCTGGTCTTGGGGAATAAAATAATGAGGATTCATGTATTTTTCCATCTTAGACTACGTGAATTTGAATAAAATAAATGTAGCACCCTTTGGTATGTGGCTGCCATTGCTTTAACAATTGTCTTGCTGTTGTTAAAATTAAACTCCACCATGAATACTTACAACAATGTTACAGAAAAGATACCATAACTCTTGCTTAATTAACACTGTTTTTGGTCCAAAATCATGATTTGAAATGTGACTGCAATTGCAGCAGTAGTACTGCTGTTTTTGACATCACCGCAAGTTTATCTGTCACATTTTTTCACAATTTCAATAACTGCAATGAAACTATAATTGTGATTCAAAACATGGTCCAAATCAAACAATGGACTTTTGTCTATCACTTTAGTTAGTGGAAACACTGAGAATAGCGTCCCCCTCTGCACCCAAAAAGGTTTTATAGTTTGGCAATGCAGGGCAATAACAAACAGAAGTGAGAAGACATAAGTAGTCAGAATGAATTTGAGCATAATGCCTTGCAACCAAAGGATATCACGTGATGCTATGTAGGTTGAAGAAAAGGTTAATGACGCATAAGTGTTCCAAAAAATTCCAAATTAACTGAACTGGTTGACAACCGAACTATACTGGACTATCGAAACAAAATCATTTTTATAAAAATCTAAATTGGACTGTTTTTATACAAAACCAAACCCAATTGTTTGAAAATCAAACAAAATTATAAGAACTGACTACTTTTATAAAAGGGTAAAATTCTCATTCTTTTGATCTTTCTTTTGCATATCAATACAAAAAAGTTGTTCAATTCGGTTTTAAGTATAGTTGAGTATGATTTGAGAAAAGTCTGATGAACCAAAAAAATAGTATGGTTTAGATTGCCAAACCATTCTCCAGTTTAGTTTGGTTGGAATGAACTGTTTTTGTAGCTCAGTTTAATTTTTATGTGTATGTTTAGATACCAATTTAAAATCATGTTTAACGAAAAAACATGCATTTTAAAGTAAAAAAAATTGTGAGTAATTTTTCTTTTTCAGTCTGAGTCGAGTTCAATTCAACTGATTCTCAAACACATTTGATATAGTTTAATTTGGTTCAACTTCGTAGGCTTGGTGTTAACCGTGGAAAAGTTATTAATTTAATTAAATTAATCAATGGTTAATATAATACTAGTTAACCACTGAAATAAGAATTGTAAGGCAAGTTGGCTACATAGTAACTTGGATCTCTCTAACAATACACACTACACAAATATGCTACATAATGAAGGGGAGTATCTCGATTTTAGCTCTGGTCTTATTTTTCACCAGTATTGTATTTTCTCTTTAACTGAGCTACAGTTGACCATATACAGAAAAATGAAATGAGTGAGGGAAATATAGATTATTATACTGAATGGTGAGTATGCGTAATCCTCTTTTCATCTATAGTGATTAAAATGGAAAAGGAGAAATTTTGCTCTACTTTTTTTTTGACAAAAGTAATTTGTAGTAAAGAAAGCATAATAACATACTTATGTTCCAGTATGGCTGCAAGGAGTGGAGATTGCAAAAAAGAAGATAAAGAATTTGGGCCTTTCCAATTACCAACGCCCAATATAGTGGCGATCTGCCTGACATTATAGACCATACACCTTTCTTTCTAGTTTCTACAAGAAAAATAAATGAATATCAAAATGCATAAGAGAATCATTAGGATCGATCTAATCATAAATATTGAGATAATATATATAAAATCTCGAGTTTAAATCTTTTTATCATCATTATAATTCTTACTTATAATATATATGTAAATAAATAAATAAAGCATGGTGCAAAGCTCTAACTATATTTTCAATCTTCATTCATTAATCATGTTGTTTTTTCATATTTTTCGTCAATTTATTTGACTTCTCTACTACATATTGCAACAAAATGACCTTGATTACATCATAGTTCTAACACCAGCAGGCAGCAACACGAGGTACAGTATTTTCTCTGTTCCTATGTTTCACCTAATATAAGAAGCTCTCAAAATTGATCGCATATCTGAGGTAGCAACTATTACCTCGTAGGAAACTAGCCGATCAAAATGATGGCAAGAAGTATGGTCAAATATTTGATACGTGAAAAAGTTAAGGGTTATTTAGTGGGTAATGATGATGGAAGTGGGATACCCCATTTATATTTACTTTGTGAATAACTTGTACTTGCTTCTTTGGATACGCCTCTGCTGATTTATTTTGGATAGACATGTAGCTCCAACAACATAATGTCAAATACTAACGAATAGTCGATCGATGTGTGCCCCATAGGTATGAACATTTTTTTAACTAAAATTGAACTATTCATATAACACTAGTGAAATATATACATTTTTTTTACATATTTTTTATGTCATATGATCCACATGACATAAAAAATGACATGATGACTTACTTGTAAATATATCAATATATTTTATGATAGGTGTTAACTTATTCATCATAGAAAGTTGACATTCTATGATGGATAAATTGTCACCAACCATAGAATGTCTTGTTATTAGGTTTTGAGAGGACGTGAATCCATTTACGCTATAACATGACTTGGGTTTATTTAACATAATTTATAATTGTTATGAATATTAATTGATCGAATGTGAGTGAATCATAGTTTTCCATTTGAATTTGAGTATAATGGTTTCACAATTAATGTATAATCATTATATTAAATCTTGAATTGTCTATTTGGATAATTTTGAAAGATACATTTTTATAGTTGATTTATACTCAGATATATATATATGTGTGTGTGTGTGTGTGTGTGTGTGTGTGTGTGTGTGTGTGTGTGTGTGTGTGTGTGTGTGTGTGTGTGTGTGTGTGTGTGTGTGTGTGTGTGTGTGTGTGTGTGTGTGTGTGTGTGTGTGTGTGTGTGTGTGTGTGTGTGTGTGTGTGTGTGTGTGTGTGTGTGTGTGTGTGTGTGTGTGTGTGTGT